TAATAGTGACTATCTTAGGAGTGGTATTGGCAGAGGTTGAGAGTGAAATTTTATGCTGTGCTGTACTGATTGGATATTTTACCATAAATATGTGCAAAGTACCTCATGTAAAATTCAAGTCAATAAAAATCAAGTACACAAATTTTAATCAAGTTTCATACTGCTTATAAATCGTACCTCTAGTTTCTAGCTTTTTTTAAAACCTGGAAGCTGATCCTGTGGGTGCCCTTCTTGAGGCATGAGGTAAAGAGTCCCAGAGATGCAGGGAGAGGTAAGCTGAGCGAGGAAGGAGAGGCTCCCTCACAGCCCTGAGGAGAGGCACAGGGTGCTTTTCCTTATTTGCTTCTTTCTTGTGATATTTCAACTTGACCTAATTAAATACTCATCAACTTGGTGGTTCTTGAGATTTTCCTGTAAGATAGAATATTTGTCTGCCTTTCAGTTCTCATCCTGAGAAGTTTGCCTTTGGTACCCAAAATCCTGTGAGATTTCAGGGATTTCTGTTAGCAATTTTAGCTATGTCAGGAATCCTTTTCAAATGTCATAATGTCTACTAATAGGATAGGAAATTCTAGCAAAAATAAAAATATATACAGTAAGAAAAGATAAAGCCAGGTGTTTGCATTGAACAGTATGGAGGACAGCTGCATGTTTGCATTTTTTATTAACACAGAAATCAACTATAGAGAAATAATAATTTGGAATTTGGGGCTTTTATTTTTTGTTCTTTTTTGAAACATCTTGCTAAGCAGAAAACGAAAATCATTTCACTTGGACAAAATACATCTTAGAACTTTAGGTTCTACTTTTTTCAATTCATTTATTCACTGATTTTTTTCAAGAAAATAGCCTTGGATAAATGCAGCTAGCCACCACCTCTGATCCTACACAAGGGCAGTTCAATAATATTATTATTATTATTTTTTTTTGCAAATGGCAAAATCAAGGTAATTAAGCAAAAAATAAGATTAAGTGGAATTAATCATTTAGTCAAGAAACATTTTCTAAATGCTATTATTTACCAGGGTCTGAGGAAACCCTGGCGGCGTAGTGGTTAAGAGCTACGGCTGCTAACCAAAAGGTCGGCAGTTCGAATCTACCAGGCGCTCCTTGGAAACTCTGTGGGCAGTTCTGTCCTGTCCTGTAGGGTCACTATGAGTCAGAATCAACTTGACGACAACAAGTTTGTTTTTTTCCTTCTTCTGGTGCTTAAGTGCTGAGGTTAAAAAACTCATCTTTTACTCTCTGATCTAATGGGGATGACTGATACCTGTATGTTGTGGTTGTTAGGTGCCAGCAAGACAGTTCCGACTTATAGCGACCCTGTGTACTACGGAACAAAACATTGCCTAGTCCAGCACCATCCTCACAATCTTTATGCTTGAGCCCATTGTTGCAGCCACTGTGTCAGTCCATTCATTGAGGGTCTTCCTCTTTTTTTGCTGATGCTCTGCTTTACCAAGCATGATGTCCTTCTTCAGGGACTGGTCCCTCTTGATAACATGTCCAGTGTACACGAGACGAAGTCCCGCCATCCTTCTGACGAGTATTCTGGCTGTACTTCTTCCAAGACAGATTTGTTAATTCTTCTGGCAGTCCATGGTATGTTCAGTATTCTTTATCAGTGCTGTAATTCAGAGGCGTCAGTTCTTCAGTCTTCTTATTCATTGTCCAACTTTCACGTGCGTATGAGATGATTGAAAATACCATGGCTTGGGTCAGGAGCACTTTAGTCCTCAAAGTGACATCTTTACTTTTTAACACTTTAAAGAGGTCTTTTGCAGCAGATTTTGCCCAATGCAATACATGTACAAAAGACTAGAACAGAAACTAATTTATATATGGCATTGTGGAAATGATTAATTCTGTGTGGAGAAATCAGAATATAATAATAGTAGATGCAGCAGCAGCAGCAAATGTTTTTTGAATGTTTTATGACAGATACCAGTGTAAACTCTTTATATACACTAATGTAATTATCTCCAAACCTGATTGGATTTGTCCTATTATCCTGATTTTACAGGTGGGAAGTGAATTCAGGGTCACATAGCTAGTAAGAGGCTGAGCATGGCAGGCTGGTTCCATAGCCTTTGATCTTAACCATTGTGCTATATTGGCTTCTCTTTCATTGTGGAGGGCTTAACACTTGCTCTAAGGCTTGAAGCAGCTAAGTCAGTTCAGAGGGAGAGGAGGATGGGGAAAGAGCTTTCCAGTAAATAGATGGAAATAGGGCTCTGGTTCTCAGGAGAGAGTAGCCATTAGAGTTGTCAGTTTTAAGGTTATCTGCCATGTTAGTGAAGTGATATGGCAGAAGGGAGATAAAAATGTGATGATAATTCTTTCAAGAAGCCTTCATGTATTAGGAAGAAGAAAGAGGCAATGCAGAGTTTGGTACAAGGTCTAGGGATAGTTTCAAGGTGAGAAAGGATTGAGTATATAGAGACTGAGAAGAAAAATAACCAAAAAACCAAACCCATTGCCATCAAGTCAGTGTTGACTCGTAGAGACCCTATAGGATAGAGTAGAATTTCCAAGGCTGTAATCTTTATGGAAGCAGACTGCCATATGTTTCTTCCATGAAGTGACTGGTGGGTTTGAACCGCTGATGTTTCGGTTAGCAGCCGAGTGCTTAACCACTGCAATAAAAGGGAGAGGTTGAAGGTATAGGAGGGGGTCTGATTGATGGGGCATTATTTGGGAGGAATGGGGTAGAACCTTCTGGAGCTATTGGTCTTGGACAGGAGGAAGGCCACCTGTCTGTCCTGTGTGAGAAAGAAGTAAATGTAGGTAAGTTTAGGGGGTGAGATGTTGGTACTGAGTGAATCTCTAACTAGTGGCCTCTGTTATCTCTTTTTTGCTGAGAGTGAGGGAAGAGAGTAAAATGGGAAGACAGTGGTGAGTGTCTGAGATCAACCCTGGGGAATGGCAGAGAACAGACCAGAATTCCTGATGGCTTTTTTCCAGCAGTATTGAACTGCCTTTGTGTAGGATTAGAGATGGTGGCTGATTAGATTGACTCAAGGCTGATTATTCTTTTAAAATTTTTTGAATAAAACTTCATCTAAAGCACAATAAAAACAAATAAATTTTTTAAAAAATCACTGAATAATTTTACACATGTAAGTGTTTAAAGGAAGCAATACAATCTACTTTGTTTAATTGAAGGTTTAATTCAGTTTGTTTAATTCAGTTGTTTACCATGTTTTCTTAACTATATATTTTGAACATAACGTCTGGAATGGTATTTGGATTGCCTTATAGTATGTAATAGGAGAGAGGACTGTCAATTTTAGGACTAGCTTTATTTATGTCTTTTTTTATAATGTGAAAACTGAAGCTATATAAATGACAACAAAGAATCCATATTTGAAGTGTGTCATGTATTTAACATATCCTGGTAAGTGGACACGGAAAAGGAAGACTTAAACCAAAAATGTTTCACATTGAGAGGACACTGATGATAAATGGAAGAGGAGAGAGTGCCCTCGATTGCCTTTGGGTTCATTCTATCTAGAAACCTTGCTGAGGCTTTCTTTCTAAACAAGCAGTACAGAATTCCTCATGCAGAAAAGGTTACTACCTGCTGACTTAATTGGAAAAATATAATTTTTTTCCTTCATGGAAGATTGTTTTAGAGCTAAAATGCACATTTTTTTGGTCATTAATTTCTGCTTATATTTTGAGTTTTCAGGCAAATTATATTACTGGGTATATTGTGCTTTTGTAGAACTATTTTCACTACTTTCTAGGTAAAACCTAAGAGAACCTTTTCTTGATGACTTTCGACTGTTCCACTAAACGTACTCATGTTATCGTACTTTTAAAATTTGAGTGCCCGGAATTTCTTTGAAGTTTTTAAGAATGTTAATTAAATTAGAAAACAGAGTTTAGTAATATCATGTACATTAGATTTTGTGAATTTATATAACAAACATGATTCTTTCCTTTATAAATTTTTCAAGTTTAATGTGTTCTTTGTTAAGGCTGGAATCTGCAGTTTCCTCCTGTCTCTCCACTATTTATTGATATAAGGCTCATTGTAAATATTTAGGGAAGAGCTCAGGCCAGAGTTTCTTACTAGCTTTGGCAAAATGGAAGGGCAGTTCGAATCTACCAGGCGCTGCTTGGAAACCTGATGGGGCAGTTCTGCTATGTTCTATAGGGTAGCTATGAGTTGGAATCAACTCTATGACAACAGGTTTGGGTGGGTTTTTTTTTTTGGTGGGGGTGGGGGTAGCTTCCTGGGTGGTTATTCCTGTTTATTTCAAGTTTCAGATACTAGTCACAATTTCTATGAGATGGTGCTACTGAATTGACAGTATTTTTAATCCCAGGCAATCTTTTCAAGTGTTCAATTAGACTTTTTATATGTTATTATATTATGTAGTTTTTTTTTAAGTTCCAATGTATTGAGTTTCTATGATATGTCTCACTGTGTGCTAAATGAACTATTTAACCTAATCCTCACAATACCTGTTTAAGGTGCTTGGAGGTGGCATCTTCATTAAAAATGAAGAAACTGAGTGTTGGAGAAGTTCAGTAACTTGCTCAAGCTCATTCAAATACAGGCCTGTCTCAAACACAAACTCTTCTTTTTGTTTATCTTATTGTTGTTCTTTGATATTTCTATAATTTTGTAGAGCAGTATTCTCTACATAGTGCCTCTATTCAGGGGTAAATGAAACTTTGCAAGACAATATACTTACCAGACCATGTCAAAGATACTGCTTTGTTTCTCTAGTTCCCTAACTATGTTAGGATTGTGGATTTAATTTGGATTGTGTGGATTTAATTTGGGAGACAGAATCACCTTTGTTTCTAAGAGGTAGAGATAAAAGCAAACATGAGGATTGACTTTTGAAAAGTATTAAGGAATTTTGGATTCTCTGATGCTAATAAACTCTAGTTAAAAAACAGACTCCTCTTATAGAAGTATTTGTGTATGATCTCATCTTTAAATGCTTTCCAGTTTTAAATCCTTGCACTTTTTTTTTGTGTAGAGTTCTCAGTATGTGCAATGTGTTGCGGGGTGCCTTCAGCTGATGCTCCGGGTTAATGAGTACCGCTTTGCTTGGGTTGAAGCAGATGGGGTAAACTGGTGAGTGCCCTTTTACTTTTAACATAGAATAACTTTTTCAAGCATCACTCCTTGATAGTTTTAAAGAAATTAATACATTTAATCATCTAAAAAGTGTTTTATCTTTTCGTGTCTGCTTAACATAGATTATGTTAACATTTTTAGAAGCCAGTAACTGCCAAACTGGCTGTTTCCCCTTTGGCCTGTACTATTTTAAGGTTAAAAACAAACAAAAAACCCAGCTTGGTTGCTGTGGAGTTGATTTCAACTCATAGCAACTCCATGTGTGTCAGGTAGAACTGTGCTGCATAGAGTTTTCAGTGGCTTATTTTTCAGAAGTAGATCACTGGGTCTTTTTTCCAAGGCACCTCTGGGTGGATGTAAACTTCCAGCCTTTTGATTAGCAGCTAGGATGTTAACCATCTGCACTGCCCAGGGACCCCTTGTAAGAGGTTTAGGCGTCCTAAAAACCTAATACTTGATAACAGATTCCAGGTACTCAGAATGCAAAAAACAATTATAAAAGTATCTCGTGGTGAATGCAGGCAAAAAATCAACTAGAAAATGTCTTACCCAGAAAAGAGTGACTGTAAACCATTCCTTATAATGCCATATAAACCCCTTGCCATCAAGTCGATTCCAACTCATAGCGACCTTATAGGACAGAGAAGTACTGCCCCATAGGGTTTCCAAGGAGTGGCTGGTGGATTGGACCTGCACATCTTTTGGTTAGTTCTTAACCACTGCACCACCAGAGCCCCTGTGTAATGCCATATACTAGCCAGTATCTTTGTAGGGTCATAATTTACAGACTCAGAAACTTCGAGGAGCTAGCTGCCTACTCCTCAAAGGTTTAGCAAACTTATATACAAACAACCTAAAACCACCCCCGCTAAACAAAATCCGGTTTTATGATCAAAAAGCCAGTTTATTTATTCATAATGAAAGATCTAACTGCTCTTAAACCAAATACTCTTCCCACTTAGCAAGGACATTGTTTCTCTGTTGGAAAATCTCTGTTGGAAGCTAGGTTATCAACAGAAGGTTGCTTGGTAAGCAAGGATTCAGAGCAAGAAGAGTTGGTTGAAAGATCTTGATGCTAGTGTCATCAGACTCTGGACTGGTGCATCCACCTCCAGCATAGGGATATACCCTAGGTCTCCTCAGCCCGTATTTGCATGCAACTTCTGTGGCTGGGTTACTCCTGCAAATGACTGTTCTTATGAATTACATTTGAGTTGTCATTTGTACTAGTTCATTGAATTTTGAAGTTTTTGGGAGTACCTCAGCAGTAGGCAGGCTGTATTTTAATCTTCCAGCCATAGTGGTCAATAGAGAGACAGTGTGTTAATTCATGAACTAGTTAATAACCATTGACTAAATAAATTAGTAATTATTTTTACATTAATTTGCAAAATTTCATTCCATTCATGTTTACTTAGCCATCAGTATACCAGAAAAAATAGTCGTCACAGTTTGCCATCTAGATCGAGTGGACCCTTTAAAAAATAGTTTTATGAATAATGAACAGAATGAAGAATAAAGAGATAGTAAAAACAACTATTAGAAGTTTTAATAAGAATTTAAACATGGAGAACATTTTGTAATGAGTAAATTTTGGTGCACAAACATCGTAAAAGATGAAAGACAAACTTCACATGTCCTTTTAACAAAGTAGGGTTGTCCATGTTCTTGTCACAAAATAGTGTCTCGAAGTCTTTCATGTTGAATGGCTAACTCAGTGAGTATACCATATTTCCTTTTTGTCTTTAGGAATGTATTGTTCATTTGTTGATTCTTGAGTTTGAGAAAATTCATTTATGATAGTCATCTGAAGATGCACAGTTTGAGATTTCACTTATATGACCGTTTTCACGATCATTGTTAGAGATAGAATACTGTCTGCCTCTTTGCTTTCATCTTCTCATTTGTCTAATAATCATGCAACTCCTTCCCCTGTTAATTGCCATTAGGTGGAAAATGAAAGATTCAGAATTCTCAACTGTGTTCAAGCTGTGTCAGGGGACCCTAAGACCACCCTATCACTAGAAGAACTCACAAGACTCATAGTTGTACCCATGGCTAAGATTTATTACAAAGACATAGTAAGGATACATGCCAGATCATATGGGAAAATGACACTGGCAGAGTCTGGAGGAATCCTTGGACAGGCTTCCTTTTGCTCTCTCCTTACCATGAAGGGTCACAGAGAGCGTACTCTTCCTCCAGCAGTAAAAATACAGCAACATGTGTGTGATGTTCCTGCCCAGGGAAGCCTAATTAGAGACCTAGCTACCAAGATTTTTACTGGGGACTGGTAATGGAGGCATCTTCTGAGTAGCCCAGAACAAAATTGCAGACTCCCAGAAGAAAGCAGGTGTTCATCATAAACCATATTGCTTGTATATACAGTCTATGCACAGTGAGCCACCCTTACCATTTAGGGAAAGTTTTATATCAGGGTAAGGAAAGTGTTTACCAGCCAGATTCCCAGATGCCAGTTAAGGTCTAACCCTGCAAGCAGGCCTTTCTAAGGATAGCAGCCTCAGGCTTACTTTGCTAACTCTTACAGCACAGAAAACTAAAGGTAGGCTATAAAGATGGTGTTTACAGTCTGTTTATCTTAAAAGATAATGTAATATTTTGGGTGGTGCAGTAAGAAAAAATGATTTATTTCACTATCGTATCTTTCTAGGCAATTATATCGTTCTCCAATTTTCTTATTATTTTAGTCTTCATTTTTTAGCATTGTTGTTATTGGCTGCCAGTGAGTTGGTTCTGACTCATAGCAACCCTGTGTACGACAGAACGAAACACTGCCGGGTCCTGTGCCATCCTCACAATTCATTGTTATGCTTGAGCCCATTGTTGCAGCCACTGTGTCAACCCATCTCATTGAGGGTCTTCCTCTTTTTCGCTGACTCTCTACCTTACCAAGCATGACGTCCTTTTCTAGGGACAAGGCCCTCCTGATAATATGTCCAAAGTACATGAAACGAAGTGTCGCCATGCTCGCTGCCAAGGAGCACTCTGGCTGTACTTCTTCCAAGACAGATTTGTTTGTTCTTCTGGCAGTCTGTGGTGTATTCAGTATTTTTTGCCAGCACCATAATTAAAAGGCATCAATTCTTCTTCGATCTTCCTTATTAACATTGTCCAGCTTTCATGTGCATATAAGGCGATTGAAAATACTATGGGCTTGGGTCAGGCACAGCTTAGTTCTCAAAGTGACATCTTTTGCTTTTCAACACTTTAAAGAGTTTTTTTGCAGCAAATTTGCCCAATGCAATACCTTTTTGATTTTGTGACTGTTGCTTCCATGGTCATTGATTGTGAATCTCAGGAAAATGAAATCCTTGACAACTTGAATCTTTTCTCCCTTTATCATGATGTTGCTTATTGGTCCAGTTGTGAGGATTTTTGTTTTCTTTATGTTGAGATGTAATCCATACTGAATGCTGTAGTCTTTGATCTTCTTCAGTAACTGGTTCAAGTCCTCTTCACTTTCAGCAAGCAAGGTTGTGTCATCTGCATATCAAAGGTTGTTAAAGAGTCTTCCTGCAGTCCTGACGCTGCATTCTTCTTCACATAGTGCAGCTTCTCAGGTTATTTGCTCAGCATACAGATTGAATAAGTATGGTGAAAGGATACAACCCTGACACATGCCTTTCCTGATTTTAAACCACACAGTATCCCCTTATTCTGTTCAGACAACTGCCTCTTGGTCTATGTACAGGTTCCTCGAGCACAGTTAAGTGTTCTGGAATTCCCATTCTTCACAATGTTATTCATAATTTGTTATGATCCACGCAATTGAATACCTTTGCGTAGTCAGTAAAACACAGGTAAAGTTCTTTCTGGTATTCTCTGCTTTCAGCCAAGATGCATCTGATATCAGCAGTGATATCCCTTGTTCCACGTCCTCTTCTGAATCCAGCTTGAATTTCTGGCAGTTCCCTGTTGATGTGCTGCTGCAACCATTTTTGATTTATCTTCAGCAGAACTTTACTTGCGTGTGATATCAATGATTTGTTCAGTAATTTACAAATTCTGTTGAATCACCCTTCTTTGGAATCGACACAAATATGAATCTCTTCTAGTTGATTGGTCAGGTAGCTGTCTTCCAAATTTCTTGGCATAGACAAGTGAGCACCTCTAGTGCTGCATCCGTTTGTTGAAACATATCAGTTGGTATTCCATTAATTCCTGGAACCTTGTTTTTCAGCAATACCTTCAGTGCAGCATGGACTTCTTCCCTCAGTACTACATTCTTGATCATTTGCTGCCCCCTGAAATGATGGAACGTCACCCAGTTCTTTTTGGTACAGTGACTCTGTGTATTCCTTCATCTTCTTTTGATACTTCCTGCATTGTTCAATATTTTGCCCACAGAATCCTTCAAAATTGCAACTCGAGGCTTGAATTTTTTCTTCTGTTCTTTCAGCATGAGAAATACCGAGCATGTTCTTCCCTTTTGGTTTTCTAATTCCAGGTCTTTGCACATTTCATTATAATACTTTACTTTGTCTTCAAGCCACCCCTTGAAGTCTTCTGTTCACCTCTTTTACTTCATCATTTCTTCCTTTTCATTTGGTTACTCTACATTCAAGAGCAAGTTTCAGAATCTCTTCTGACATCCATTTTGGTCTTCTCTTTCTCTCCTGTCTTTTTAATGACCTATTTGCTTTCTTCACGTATGATGTCCTTGATGTCATCCCACAGCTTTTCTGGTCTTTGGTCATTATTGTTCAATGCATAAAATTTATTCTTGAGATGGTTTCCAAATTCAGGTGGGATATACTCAAGGGCGTATTTTGGCTCTGGAGGACTTGTTTTAGTTTTCTTCTGCTTCAACTTGAACTTACATATCAGCAGTTGATGATCTGTTCCGCAGTCAGCCTCTGGCCTGTTCTGACTGCTAATACTGAGCTTTTCCATTGTCTCTTTCTGCAGATATAATCAGTTTGATTCCTGTGTTTTCTGTCTGGTGAAGTTCACATGTAGAGTCATAGCATAGTTGG